TTTTCAATAAAAAATAATTCTTAATCTGTCAACAGATTAAAAATGTTTCATGGTATATTTTCCATAATAATATTACACTTTTTTTGTATTTTTAATGTTTCAATATAAATTGAAATAATTAAATAGTTTACAAATTGGATCTGTGATCTGATCTAGATTTTTTGAACCATTTTTTAAATGTTATATCCACATCATATACGTCCCAACCCAATGTAAATATTTTCTTCATGTATGTATAAAAGAACACACAATAATTGATGCCCAACTATAAACAAATAATAAACGTCAACCCTGATGTTGTTGTAGTTTTGGAATTTGACGCCACTACCAATAATGAAGAGATGCGATCGTATTCGAACATTTGTCTGAATTTCACAATTCTTGATTAAGTTGAACTTATTTTGAGCGAGTGTGGGTTTGTATGTGTGTGTGAATTTTTCCTACAAACAATAATTGATATCGTAACAAAGGCAAAAAGACATACATACACGAAATTGATGGAGTAGGGGAATATGGAGATAAAATTAAAAAAAACTTTTTTTATCAATTTCTTAGTAAGTTATTAGTTATTTATTTTAATAAATTCATACTTTTATAAAAATAAATTCCTCAGCCTAACTGCGCTACTATAAGGCTGAGAAAGTAGTAAAGTCGGACTGGACCGACTATATGATACCCTTTACCACTTTGGGTATATTCCACATATGTATCCTTACAATTGCATGTCAATGTTCCCTTGAAGGAACATACTCATGGCTTTCTGCAACCTATACTAAATTTAATTTCATTCATGCTATTCGGTACGCCGCACTGTTAAAAATTTAATCTCAATCAGACACCCGTTCGAAATACATACGGAAGCTGCATCTGCACCAAATTTCAACAAAACGCAATAACGTCATTCAAGTCTCAATTTGATACGTTGTGCAAAATTTCGTGTTAATCGGACACACATTAGGATTTTGGTGCACCATTTACATAAAATCGGACGAAAATGTATATGGGAGCTATATCTAAGTCTGAGCTGAACCATTTTAGAAAGAATCGGCATTATAGATATAGGCATATATTCACTAGAACTATTCTTTTTTCATTGAATTTTTGCAATTTTCCACATTTCTGGAAACACAGGCATTGTTAAAATAGATTTTACAACGTGCAACAAAAATTTACCAACAAGGGGAAATACAATCTCTAAAAAACTTTAGCTGAAATCTATCATATCCAACTGCCGTGGATTTAGTTTTATTGAAAGCATCAACAACCCCAGTATAATTAATTGCATGAAAGGGAAAACCATCAAAAGCATCAGCAGGAATACAAGAGGCATCAAAAACATCTACGGATTGATTCGAAACAAAAACTGAATTCAGAACCACAACATCAACATTCCCGGCTTCTCTGTCGTCAGTACACAAACAGTTTTTATTTAAAATTGACCACACTTCCTTTGTGGATTTATTAGCAAACATATCCTTATGAGCAATAAATTTTAGTTTTCTTATATATTTTTTTTTGGTTCGGTTACGACAGCGACATAACAATTTCCAATTTTCAACACATCTATCCCGAAGATAGGTCCTATAAGAAATGTCAGGAAGAGACAAATGATACCGAATTTCAGCAGATTTAAACCAGTCATCTTTATTTATTTTTCAAAACCTTCCTTTAATAGCAACTACGCTATACAAGTGCCGAAGACCACAGTTCAATATATCAAGCCGTCTCGTTGGGTATCAGATCTTTATTCTAGCCGCCATAAAACGGTAGCCCCAATTTTTGACATAGACATATCTTTCAAACAAATGAGATGTAATATATATTTTTGATTTTTATTGGATAACAAATTCTACAATAGATTTTAGGTAAATTCGAAAACTCTTATTACAATAAACGACACAACCTTTCTATGGACTTATGGATGCAGTCGTTACAACCGATATGTTGTTATAAATGATTTCGACTGTATTTTGAATCGTCGCAATTAACGACGTGTTTACTTGGTTTCTTTAGAATATTAAACATCAGATATATGTTTTTCTATAGAAAGAAATACAACTTAAATCTTCTGATGATGAATATAGAAAAAATAACTACAAATATACCGTGGTATTGTTTTCTATCCCAAAATATATTTCAGATATTTTACATTTTCAAAGAACTTCGTTTCCGAGTCTGCTCTAAGATGTCCTCTATAGAGAGATTATCCTCCACATTCTTCTATATATGATTAACACCATTGTATAAACATATATCAACGCGTTATTTGAGCTTCATTCAACATCAACATTTGCGGCGCGGAACACAGAATCTTTTTAATTCATTTGCTCAGCAATTTGGTATTGCACTGCAATTTCCTGTCTGCATACCATGGATGTTCACAGTATGTGTGTGTCTATCAGTGGACATTTGTTGCATACACACACTTCAAATTTATTTCATTTGCAATGATAATTTGATGGCATTACCCCCCATCAAGCCGGGAGGGTGCATCAATTCTTAAATTTTTCGAAAAAATACAATCAAATAATTTCTAACTTACCAGAATTATCACGGGATGACCTATAGGATCTCTCTCTGTCCGATTCTCGTTCATTGTAACGCCTATCCCGTTCATCATGCTATAATAAAACAACACCAAAAATGGTTCAGAATTATTTATATAAACAAATAGCCCAGCATCATCCCAAAATATGTACCTCAACATGATGGCGATTGCGTTCGTGCGATCTTCTGCTGCTGCTATTATCCGAATAATTGTGGTGTCCACCCATTATTGCACTAGGATATTTTTTAATACATTTTTATTAAAAAAATATTTTATTTATTGGAGTATTACTGTTTTTGTTGTTGACAGATCAGATCAACTGGTACCAAAATTTATTTCCAAAATAAACAGCAGACAAAAACAAACTGTCAATTGAAAACAGATGTTTTGTTCTGCTGTCAAAAATATCCTGTTAGTAATGTCAATATTTTGTGTGTTGTTTTTGTTTGGCGTTTTTATACCCTCTACCTAAGTATGGAGGGTATATTAATTTTGTTTTTCCGTTTGTAACTCATCGAAATATTTATTTCCAAACCTATAAAGTATATATATTCTTGATAAGGGTAAAATTTTATGACGATCTAAGTATTTCCAACAGTATGTTGTAATCACTCTAGTCTCTAAACGAATTGAGATAGATTGTCATATAAGGGTAGCCCCCAATTTTCGGTATTTTAAGGTTATTAGCGCGTTGTTCAGCCGAATTCGCTGAAATTTGTTACATTGGGTTCTTATTGCGTACCAAATGTCTCCACTACAAATTTTAAATGTCGGTCCACTTTTTCTGGTGCCTCCCATTTTACAGGTTTTAAGCGCGTTTTTAAACCGAATTTGCTGAAATTTTGTACAATGGGTTCTCATTAGATACCAAATTTCTGCACTAACACTTATAAATATAGATCCATTTTTTCTGCCACTTATAAGGGAACCCTCAATTTTCGGTATTTTGTGGTTCCGTTTTATAACTTCATATCAAAAATTATTAATATTCGCCTCCTTTTAGGGGTAGTTGATTACATGGCATAATTATGCCATGGCTGATTAGTTCCGTGTGTAGCGGTTGTCCCCATATAGACGTATTCTACCATAGTATAGGGCAGGGACATACGCAGGCGGCCAGCATTTAGGCATCTTCCCCATATAATTATATCTCCTGAAGGAAAAAAAATGAGATAGAAAACTAAAGTATTGGGTTCGAAATTGACATATGTCGGTCATTAACTAGGCATAGCCCTCATATAATTATAACCCCAAATATTCGCTAATTCCTACACTAGGTAATCTAAATTGCAGTATGATTCTACCCTTCTTTATTGTAGTAGGATTCTACCATGCTTTATTAGTATTAGTTCACGCTTTGGGGTTTTTATTACAAATTGTTGACATTTTTATTCGGTGTACATAATGGTTTACATAAACCGGTTTGTTGAATTATCGGTATAGGTTGACTTTTTTGGTATGTTACCTATATTTTCATTTCAAGTATACCTATGCTGGTGTTAAGGGTCCCATACGCTATAAATGTCTATATCATCAGCGGAGATACTCAACGGTCCCTGTTGACTATAGGGTAAGGTGTTGATAAGCAATCCCCTCCTCGTTTGTCGATGGGGTGTCGTCCCATATGTAGGCTAGTAGTACGTTTACATTTAACCGGATTTCGTTAACCCAGTGGGTTTCAATTGTCAATTCCTTTGCATATATGTGAAATAAATCCTCATAAAATAGGTTAACCCGGTAAAAATGTTTAATGTATATGCCGTTTAGGATTCTATCTTGACACCCTCAGTATATACGAGGACTGTTTATCTATAGAAACCAGTTCTTCGGTACATTTAAACTTTTTTCTTATGGGAAAGAATTCTTCAGTATAGCACTTTATTTAGAAGCACCGAATTTTTGCACCATTAAAAAAAACTTGATCCAAATTTTGATAAGAACAACAAAATATAAACAAAAAAAAAAAAAGAATAATTTGAAGTATAAATATATAAACCGAAAAAATATAGTTTAAAACAATAATAATTTTATACAACAATTTTTCAAATTTTGTTATTATTATCGGCATGACTACGTCACTGAAAACCCCCTTTTGCGAGGAATACCGACTATTTGGCGTTTTTAAAATTCCGTCAAATGCGCAACACTTCGCCAATTCAAAACCATAACAATAATCAGCTGTTTTGATTTTTCACACGCAAAAAAAACTAATTCTCTTCTATTTTGTTTTTATTCTCTTTCAAGTTCAAGCACGTTTCGTTCGCTTGTTCGTTTCGCGACGTTTTGCTTGCTGGCTTGCGGAATCATCATCGTAGCGAACTATTGGCAAGCTAAACAAATAAAAACAACGGTTTGGAAATCCCAAAATTGCTTGGATAGCCGAAAGGAGTAGAGCAAAGGAGCGAAGGTCTTTAATTAAGTGGATTGTAGACGCCACAGGATAAACAAAACAATGGCAGACACGACTCATCCTATGGATGAGTTTTGTGGATCGAAATTTTGGGTAAGATTACGGACGTGCAATTAACCAATGAATGAAATCAATTCATCAATTGATTTCATTCAAAATTGTTGTTGTATGATTTTCCTTTATCCACACACACAGAACAATGTGTTTTATAATCACTTTAATTTGTTGCTAATATTTACTATACGACATCAACCCACCCACCCATACCCTTCCGCCCTTATCTTCACTATTCACTTACGCTGTGCCTAACAACATCATCATGTTCCACAAAAAAAAAATTAACCTTGTAATTTTCGTTTTGTTTATAGTAATTAATATTGTTGTTGTTTTTGTTCATTTCTCTCTGCAGGATCTCAATGAAACCTGGTATACATTTGATCCGGACTTTACACCATGTTTCGAACAAACCGTTCTAGTATGGGCGCCATGTGCGTTCTTTTGGGCATTTTGTATATTCGATTTTTACTATCTGAAGGCCAGTCTAGATAAGAATATACCATGGAATAAACTAAATATAAGTAAATTATTGCTGACCTTGGCACTATTAGTGCTGACAGCCGTTGACTTTATAATGGCTATGGTGAAAAAGGGCGACGAGGCAACAGCCGATCTTATCTATCCGGTTGAAATATGGACACCCGTAATAAAGTTTGCCACATTTGTAAGTAGAACAAATATTGAAGTATTCTTTGTTTGATTGATTTGCATTTTCTTTGAAGAGTTTTGGAAGTTAGAGAACAGAATTGAGATAAGGCATGGAAAATTTGTTAACAATGTAATTATTATAGATAGTAATAGATTATACAAAAAAAAAAATCTCAACAACTAGAAAGTACTCGATTGTCCAGCTGATTTCAAAATCTATCTATACATTACAAATCGATAAACTTTTGAAACTATGTAGTTGTTGTGTGGAATTGTTTATTTATTTTTTTTTTAATAGGAAGTATTTTTTTCTTTTCTAATATCAATATTATTTATAGAAGCTACATACACCACTGTATATATGTATATGTATGTTCTATTTATATCATAAATAATAATGTCCATACTATTTTTTTTTCGTAATTAAATTTTGATAGCCATGAACTAGAACTATTTGTAAATGAATCATTGGTTTGACGATAGCTTACAATATAAATTACTCATTACATGTTATATTAAGAAGATCGATGAGGATTTGTATAATCTATTTAGATTTTAGGTTAGATTGAAGGGTATTTCTCGGTAACGCTGAGGATTTTTTCTATAGACAAATAGTCCTCAGCTACACTGACGATTTTTTTTCTGTCGAAAAATAGTCCTCAGCTATAAAGAGAATTGTTTCTATATGAAAATAGTTTCTATATATACTGAGGATTTTCTATAGATCTTTATCTTTAGAAAAATAGTTCTCATATACACTGATGATTTTTTTCTATAGAAAAATCTACCTCAGCTGTGGCTGACGAATTTTTTTTCTATAGAAAAATGCATCTGAGCTAGGTTGACGTTTTTTCCACAGAAAAATCCACGTCAGTTATGCTGAGGAATTTTATTCTATAGAAAAATCTAAATTAGCTATTCTTTAGAAAAATCCACCTCAGCTAGGCTCAGGGACATTTTGTTTTCTATAGAAAAATCCATGTCAGCTAGCTGAGGAATTTTTTCTATCGAAAAATCCACCACAGCTTTTTTTTCATGAAAATTTTGTTAATGAGGAATGGTTTCCTAAAGAGAAAAAAAGGTCCTTATGTAGAGCATATTTTCTCCTAAAATGTGACCCATAATTTTAATTGTATCTCCCTCTCTCTCTTTTGCAGACCCTCATACTAATATTCATTCCATTGAATCGCAAATATGGCGTACAAACATCCGGTTGTCAATTCCTATTCTGGTTCCTATTAACAATATTCTCAATACCTCGATGTCGTACCGAGGTGCGTGCTGAACATGATCGTTCACAAGTGCTGCAATCCTCAATTAGTGAAATGCCCGATTATTCATGGGATGAATATAAATATGTTAGTTTTATGATCTACTTTGCGTTCTGTTGTGCAATGCTTCTGTTGAATTGTTTTGCCGATGCCCGACCCCGGGAAACTAAGTACAAACGTACCGACAAGGAAATCCCAGAAAATTCAGCCAGTTTCCTATCACGCATCACATATCAATGGTTTGATATTATGGCATGGAAGGGTTATCGCAATCCTTTGGAAGAGAAAGATTTATGGGATTTGAGGCCACAGGATAGCTGTAAGGAAATTATGCCAATTTTCGCCTACTACTGGAATAAGAATATTCGCAAGAACTACAAGGTTGATGCCAGTCAGCCTAAAGTGAAATTTAGCAATGGCCAGGTATCATTTGACAATCCACACGGTCCCAAGAATGGCAAGAAACAGGGTGAAGCCTCGATTATGCCACCAATTATTAAGTCGTTTGGTGGTGTTTTCCTCTTCGGTTCCATGATGAAACTGATCACCGATATCCTAACTTTTGCCCAACCCCAGGTGTTGCGTTGGATTATTGGCTTTGTTGAAGATTATACTCTACCCGAAGATCAGCAGCAACCAGAATGGAAGGGTATTTTCTATGCAGTTCTACTTTTCCTTTTGGCTGCTGTCCAGACTATAATTTTGGGCCAATATTTCCATCGCATGTTTATTGTGGGTCTACGTATTCGTACGGCGCTGATCAATGCCATTTATCGTAAGGCTTTGGTATTGTCGAATGCCACCCGGAAGGAATCGACAGTGGGTGAAATTGTCAATTTGATGGCTGTGGATGCTCAACGTTTTATGGATTTGACAACCTATTTGAATATGTTGTGGTCGGCACCGCTTCAAATTGCATTGGCTTTGTATTTCTTGTGGCAATTGTTGGGTCCCTCCGTTTTGGCTGGTCTTGCTGTAATGATTATCTTGATTCCCGTCAATGGTGTCATTGCCAATCGCATTAAGACCTATCAAATACGACAAATGAAATACAAAGATGAACGTGTTAAATTGATGAATGAAGTTTTGAGTGGTATTAAGGTGAGTTACAAAATTTTGGAAGTTATATTTTATATTCACAAAATAGTCGTAAGCTACACTAATGAATTTTTTCTATAGAAAAGAAATCGTCAGCCCAGCTGATGTGAATTTTTTCTTTTCCAAAAAATTCGTCAGACCAGCTGAGGTGAATTTTTCTTTAAAAAAAAAAATTCTTCAGCACAGCTATGTTGAATTTTTCTTTAGAAAAAAATTTGTCAGCCAAGCTGAGGTGAATTTTTCTTTAAAAAAAATTCGTCAGCCCAGTGGAGGTGGATTTTTCTATGGAAAAAATTCCTCCGTTATTGCTGAGATGGATTTTTCTATAAAAAACATTTTTTCTATAGAAATAATTCTTGAGTCCTAGCTGAGGTGAATATTTCTATAGAAAAAAATTACTCAGCCCTAGCTGAGGTGGAAAAAAATTCCTAAATTTTATTCTTAGCAATTTGTGTTCTTTGAAAAATTCTTCGTTTGTTCATTTTTCTTTTCTTTAGGTCTTGAAATTATATGCCTGGGAACCTAGCTTTGAAAAACAAGTTTTGGAGATTCGTGAAAAGGAAATTGCCACCTTGAAATCAACAGCCTATCTGAATGCCAGTACCTCGTTCTTGTGGTCTTGTGCTCCATTTTTGGTAAGTTTTCCTTTTGTTTTCCCAAAAAAAAAATTTTTTTGATTTCTTTTCAGTAAAATATTGGAAGCTGAAAATTATGTGATGTGGATTTTTTTATTTCAATTAAAATTAATTTGATTTCTTTTTCAAACCCAAAAATATTAAGATTTCTCTGGTGACATTTGCCACCTATGTTTTGCTCGACGAAGAAAATGTTTTAACACCCACAAAAGTATTTGTGGGTTTGTCTCTATTCGAAACAATGAATATACCCTTGATCACATTGCCTATGTTATTTGTGGATATTGCAGAGGTATTTTTACGATTAAAAAAAAATAATTTTATAATCCACCAAACCAACCACCACCAATCATGGAAAATAGATATCGATTTCGATTCATTTTATTCAACTACTACTTCTTATGCAGCAGCAAAGCTTTTTGAGTAAAGAAACAAACAACAACAGATCATCGCTGGGTTATTGGATAAATTTACAAACATCTCAACTCAACATCTACATCTTGGATAAATTAATTATCTACATCTACAATTTCTATTTCTATTTTCTTTCTAATATTTTCTATCAATTTCAAACTCTTCTTCTTACATTTTATAATTATTGAAACCTTTATTTTTATTATTATTATAGGTATCATTGGTCACATTTGCCACATACGTATTAATTGATGAAAATAATGTTCTCGATGCTACTAAAACATTCGTCTCATTATCATTATTCAATATCTTACGTTTCCCATTAACTATGTTACCCATGTTGATCTCGAATTTGGTCCAAGTAAGTTTCCCACTTCTTTTCATCAAAATGAAGAGATAGTTTTTGTGTGTGTTCGTGTGTTTGTAAACAGATCTTTTTAAAGTTGAGTTTGGCCCCCTCAACTCTTTTAAAGATTTCTTTTTCTGCTTGTTCCGTCCTGATTGTTACTGATTGTTACTATATCCCCCCAAATCCAAAACACCTATAAAAATAATCCCTTATCCAATAGTTTCGTATGTCCTTGTTAATGTTTTTTTCGTAATAATCCCCAATATGTATCCCTTGTGATTCCCAAACTTTTGAATTTTAACACCCCTTTTTAATAGAATAATATTCCCCACGCCCACTCAAATTTTTACCGCCAAAATATTACCTTTTAGATTATGTATTGCTTATATTTTTGTTTTAATATTCCAATTTATGATCCTTATAATAACTTTTGAAATCCCTTCCCGAAAGAAATATGTTTTATTATGGACTTTAAAATATGTTTGTATTTTTTGTTTGTTAACCTTTTAAAAATTTATATAACCTTTATATACCCTGATCCATTTATCATTTATTATCGTTTTATTTATACACACTTTCTGTCACGAAAACTTAGTTCTTTAGATGATGATCTTTTTAAATATGTCAGTTTTTAATCCGTATATAATTTTCGTAGGGTCAGGAACATTCTATTCAATTTTCCGACTTATATATTTTTCACTTAAATAGGAAGGGACTTTTAAATCCACAACCCTACACCCTAAGACGGATTGTTTAGATTTGATTAATTTCGGATTTTAAATGTTAACAATACTCATGGCCAAAAAGTTGCGAAAGAAATATTTGGACGTAGTCCAAAAACCGAGGAAAATCTGTATATCAGACGAGACTTGGAATCTAATTTCTCAACGAGGTGAACTCAAAGTGCAGCTGAACAACAACAACAATATCACAAAAGAGCAGTATAAACAAGTGAAGAAAGCAGCAAGAAAATATAAAAAATGGTCCTAGAATCCTGGCAAAAAAATAAAAAAATAGCCGAGGAAGCAGCAAGCCAGAATAACATGAGAAAACTACACCCAACAATAGATAGTCTCACAAATAGAAGGTGTACCAGGCAATCCAAGCAATTAAAGACCCTAACGGTAGGCTACTAACAAACAATGATGAACAAACTCAGATATAGGGGGAACATTTTGAAAAAATCAGTTACGTCTGAAACACCACTGAAAATAACGACAGGGACAATGGCAGTCCAATGGAAAATACTCTCTGGGAGTGAAAATACTCCCTGGGGACTTAAAAAGTAACAAAGCAGCAGGAGAAAATAGTTTAACGGCGGAAGAACTGCTGCTGAGTTACTTCGAACTCACATCATTTCAGTTTGGGAGGAAGAGAGATTGCTTTCAAATTGTTGTGAAGCTACCCAAAAATGGCGGCTTGAAATATTGTAACGGCTGGAGTGGAATAGCCCTGCTCAACACAATATACACAATTCTGGCAACTAGAAAAGAATTCAAAGTCAAATAGAAAATGTTCCGAGAAATGAACAAGCTGAGAAATGAACAAGCTGGCTTTAGACCAAATAGAAGCTGCGTGGATCAGACCAACACCCTACGAGTCATAATAGTACAATCAGGGGAGTGCGCCATTCTATAGAAAATAAAAACAAGAAAACAAAGGCCAAACAATTGAATACGGCGATTGCTTCTTTCATCTAGGAAGCACTGTAACAACAAGTGGTGGTGCAGATATTGAGGTAATTAAAAGTCTAACACAAGGGAGGTCAGCATTCGTAGAAGCTCACATATATCCAGGAAAATCAAGCTTAAAATATTCGAAGCACGTATAAATACGATTCTGCTATACAGCAGGGAAACGTGGCGTGTATCAAATACCACAAAATCGGATTAAACGTTAGAAATGGAGATGGTTTAGCCACATCTTAAGAAAAAATGTCCATAGCATAACCAGAATGGCACTGAATGGAATCCTGAAGGATCAATAAATCGAGGTCGACCAAGAAACACCTGACGGCGAATAATAATTCAAGAACTAAGGCAAAATAACATTACATGGGAAGATGCAAAAACAACGACGGCAACTAACCGAGCGCGATGGCAGTGCTTTGTGGAAGTCCCATGCTGCCAAGAGGAGTAACAGGAAAAAAATCCGCTTTGACCTTTTTTTTTAATTATTACAACACTTTGCCAATCAGTAATTCCGACTGTCGAATAGTTTTTGGCTTCGCATTATCGCTGCTACCGAAGCAACAACTGTTGAATGAATCGTCTACGAAAGTGTCAGCTGATGCATCTGTCAGCTGATTCACATCTTCTTTACTACCACCTATGGAACAGAAGAGCAGAAACTCCCTGGAAAAACTCAATTAGTTTTGGTCGAGAATTGTTGGCACAATACCGAACATATGTCCGCCCTATTAATCGCATATTCTTCACCTTGAAACTGTAACCTAGAATTAGAAATAGAACTCGATTGGATAGAACGACGATAGAATGAGCTAAAAGACCAACAACAATTAGCATCTGAATTTAAACGCAATAATCTTGATTTTTTTACATCTTATTGATTTCAGAACAAACTCTTACGTAGAGGAAACAAATCTCAATATTTAACATCTATGCAAATAGGTCCCACCTAGGTGCCATTTCAGTTTAACCAAAGAAGTCAACATTCAAAAAATGAAACACTTCGGTTGAATTTCCCACAATGTACTCCTCGTTGTTAAAGTCATTTCTCTTTAAATCTTAACTTCTTTTTACACCATTAACCACCACAAAAAAACGTTAATACCATTTGGCGACAATTTCAAACACATCCAAAAAAATAAATCGAAAATATTCAAAAAACATATATTTTTTCTTTAAATTCAACAAACTTTCTCTCCTCTCTTCCTCATTATTAGACTGCCCTAAAATTTCCTTTGCCACACATATCCTCATCCCAAAATAAAACCCCCTAATAAAAACACAATACCCATAACTCATTCCTTAAAAAAACCCATCCCATCCCACTCCACCCACAACCTTATAATGCCAATTACCTAACCTATAAGGCCAATTAACTAACAATGCTTGGTATAGATATTAAATGGTCCAATAACAAATTTTAAAACTCGATTATGGCGAAACATTCGGATTCGGAACAATGCTTATACTTCCCTGAAGTGTAAGGGCGATATTACCGAAGAGGAGATAAAACATCATATTTGTTTTTGTTCTCTTTCCTCTTCCTCAAATTGAGATTTTCCCAATCCGAACCTATCGAACTTTAATTTTGTTATGGATATTAACATTTGTTGCCTTAGTTAACTGCTTAAAATTTGCATGTTTTTTGTGTGTTAAATATTTAAATTGTGTTTCAAATGTTGATTAATTCCCTTTTTACTTTTCTTAACCTAACTTTGTGTTGGCTTAGACCCAAGTCTCCGTTAAGCGTATCAATAAATTCATGAACAGTGAAGAATTGGATCCCAATAATGTGCAACATGACCCCAAGAAACGTAAGTCTACAAAATATTCAAACACTCAATTTTTTAATTCAATTTTTAGATCTTCAGTAGACTGACGAGGAACCTTTTTTTAGGTCCTCTAAAGAAGCAGATCTATTACAAACAGAAGGTGGTATAAAATCTTCTAAAGGTTGAGGACGACATAAACAGAACGAAAATCTTCTACAGATCTTCATGAAGAGGAACCTCTAAAGGTTTTCTATAAATAAGAGAAGCTTTTTTAAGTCCTTTAAAGACAGAAGGTCCTCAAAAAAAGAAGATCTATTACAGACAGAAGGTGGTATCAGATCTTATACAGGCTGAGGAGGTCATGAACAGAATGAAAATCTTCTACAGATCTTCATTAGACAAAATTCCATCTATAGGGTCAGGAGACTATAAGACGACCATCTGCAAACCCTAGGTCTTATAGAGGCTGAACACCTTTTTTAGGACATTAACAGGTCATTAAGATCTACAAGAAGTCTATAAGAAAATCTTCTGTAGGTTTATAATAGACCAAAGGTCCCAGTTATTATAGAGGCTGAAGAGTTTATACAGGCCATTAACAGACCGAAAAGTAGACAAAATTCCATATATAGGCCTTCCAGAGACAGAACACTATAATAAGATAAACTTTTGTATACAAAACGCCCCAGGTCTTATAGAGACTGAGGGGCTTCTATTGGTCATTAACGGACAGAAAATCTTTACAAACAGGCGTTCCTTAGAAAAAGTAACACTTACAGAGACAGAACACCTTCTGCAGGTCTATAATAGACAAAAACTACAACAAGTCTAATAGAGCATTTACATAACAGACTAAACGTCTTCTGCAGACCTTCTATAGACAGAAGTGATCCCTCTATAGGTTTGCTTTAATGATAGTACATCAGACGGTCTTCTTCATCGTAAAAGATTCCCCCGTCTCGCAGCTTCAGTAATGTTGCAGGAGGGAGGTGTTTCCTTCTCAGTATGGAATGGACGATATGTCTGCCCATGCAGCAAAGGAGTAGATGTTGATGGGACGAATCACTTTCTTGTATATTAGCAACTTTACCTCCGAAGAAAGTCCTCCTCTCATTCGAATGAGGAGGCGACAGAAGTCGAATCATTCGTGGAAGATGATTCCAAGGCCTCGTAGGACAAGTAACACATCATCAGCGTACGTCAATGACAGTTCTCTTTCATGCTTCTCCAGTATGTCGCATACTAACAGGTTGTATAGAACTGGTCCCAGTAGTGATCCCTGTGGCTTTGACCGTTCGTTGTGCAGACATTTTATTTTCTACTCTCACACGGAATATTCGATCCTTAAGAAAACTTGCCACCATGCGAAAAGTTTGCCTATCGATTCCGAGTGATTGCATCTTATAAAAAATTTTAAAAAATTTTGGTTAAAAACTTAAAAATTAAATTTATTTAAATTTACGTTAATATTTTGTGGCCAAAAACCATGGATAATAGAGACTGTAGAACTTCAACAGGTCATTAAAAGACAGAAAATGTTCTGCAGACCTTCGTTTGACAAAACCACCTTTAGGTCTCTAGGTCTGCAGGTTTATAATAGCCAGAAGACACCAGACATTTTACAGACCCTGAATAGGCAAAATACCGCCTATATTACATTTAGAGACCGTAGACTATCAGAAGACCTTCTACAGGTTTTAGAATAGACTAAATTCCTCAGGTCTTATAAAGGTTAAAGAGTTACTAAAGGTCATTAACAGGTGGACAGACGCCTCACTTTTTAATACATACTAGTTAACATATTAATTTATTTCCCTCTTTCTCTTCTTCTTTCCCCCACAGCCCATCCCTTGTCAATTGAAAACGGTGTATTCTCCTGGGGTGATGGTGATATTACCTTGAAAAACATCAACATGCATGTCAAGAAAAATACTCTCTGTGCCATTGTTGGTACTGTGGGTTCGGGTAAATCATCTGTGGTTCAAGCCTACCTTGGCGAAATGGAAAAAATATCTGGTTCAGTAAATACAGTCGGATCTATTGCCTATGTCCCACAACAGGCATGGATTCAAAATTCCACCTTGCGTGACAATATCCTCTTTGGCAAACCATATGATCGTAAACGTTATAATCGTGTCATTGATGCCTGTGCCTTGCGACCCGATATTCAAATGTTATCCGCTGGCGATCAAACTGAAATCGGTGAAAAGGGTATTAATTTATCCGGTGGCCAGAAGCAACGTATTTCAATGGCCCGTGCTGTGTACAGTGATGCTGATCTATATTTCTTGGATGATCCATTGAGTGCCGTCGATTCTCATGTGGGAAAACACATATTTGAACAAGTTATTGGTCCCAAGGGGTTGCTGGGCAAAAAGACACGAGTTTTGGTTACCCATGGTATCACATTCTTGCCACAAACCGATAACATTTATGTCATGAAAATGGGTGAAATCAGTGAAAGTGGTACCTATCAGGAGCTGCTGATTAAGAAGGGTGATTTCTCTGATTTCCTTTTGCAACATTTGCAAGAGGGCGGTGAAGAGGTTGAAGATTTGGATGTTATTAAACAGCAGTTGGAGGGTAATCTGCAATCGGATGAATTGAAAAATCAATTCCGTAAGGCTATTACATTGGCTAAACAGGAAAGTTTATCGGATTCTGTGTAAGTATTTTTTTTTATTGAGAATTGGGATTTGAAAAATTGAATTGTTGATTTTATTTTGTTTTCAGTTCGGTCCGTTCATTTGAAAGTGGTACCAGCAGTATTAGACGCCGCAAACGCATGGACTCGCAAACTTCTGTGACAACTGTGGCCTCCAAAAAGGATTTGGAAGATCAAGGCAAACTCATTGAGACTGAAAAATCACAAACTGGTGGTGTAAGTAAAAAAACTTAAATAACATGGATAAAAATATTCATTGAGTTAAAAAATAGAACATTTTTCACAGAAAAAAATTAGGAAAGTTTTCTAAAAGAAATCCCTATGAACAACTTCTAAAGTATTAAACTTATCCTCTATGTGATAGATTAGTATAAGAAGACCTTCTGCAGTCCCCAGGTCTTATAGAGGCTGAAGAGCTTGTATAGGTCATTAACAGACACAACAATATACCGTCTATAAGACTATCAGAAGACCTTTTGTAGGACAATAATAGATAAAAAAACCTCCGATTTTTATAGAGACAGACAAAAGACAAAATTATACATACATAAATTACAGAAAATTTTTGTAGATTTATTATATACAAAAGTAGTCAGGCCGTTTAGAGCCTGAAGAGTTTGTTCAAGTCATTGTTGTGTCCAAAGGATCTTTTTGCTAGATAACTTCTTCTCTAGAGGTTTTTAAAGGCTTCTGATGACTCCGACTTTTTTTTTACTTCCATATTTTAAAATTTTATTAACCTTATTTTCGCCTCATTTTCAGGTTGAATTTGCCGTCTACAAACATTACATGAAGAGTGTTGGTATTTTCCTATCCTTGGCCACGTTGATATTGAATTTCGTATTTCAAGCTTTCCAAATTGGTTCAAATCTATGGTTGACAAAATGGTCCAATGATAAAGATGTAGCCAACGATACCGGACTGCGTGATATGTATTTGGGGGTATATGGTGCCTTTGGTTTTGGTCAAGGTAAGTCCATTTGGTTTGCCAATTAAATTTTTTAATGCGGTGTAGGTGTGCTCTCTTTTTTTTTAAACTATAAAGTGTGTCTTTATTAAAAAAATACGAAATCGTGAAAATCGTCTCATAAATGTTGGGTTAAGGGTTTTATTTGTTATGGGTTCTTTTTTTCTTTTATAATAATTTTGTATTTAGTTTTTGTGGCTTTTATATTTTGTTGTTGTTTTTTGTTTTTAACTTTTATTTTGGCTTTTATTTATTATTCTAATTTTGCATGCTTGTTCTTTTACTGAATATGTTTTTTTTCTTATTTTAATTTAAAAATTTCGGCTTAAATGTATTTTATGCTGCTTGTCTAGTTTTTCCTTAATTTCTTACTTTTTATATATGTTGTTCTTCTTTTTACTAACTAATTAATTTTTTATTTAATAACAACTTTTTTCCTCCCTTCCTCCCCCTTCTTTTAACCTCTATAACATTTTCCTTAACAACTGTAAAAAAAAACACAAACACCACGATCACCTCTAACATAACTAATTATTATTTGCCGCCACACACACACTAACATATCCTGAGTAGTTATAAGCAGTTACTTTTCAACCCTTGCTATTGGTTTGGGCGGTGTTTATTGTTCGAAAAAATTACACGCCGTTCTATTGGAGTATGTGCTCCGTTGGCCCATGGATTTGTTCGATACAACACCATTGGGCAGAATTGTCAATCGTTTCTCCAAAGATATCGATACGGTTGATAATATTTTGCCGTTGAATTTGCGTGTTGTCATGACGCAAGCATTTGCGGTAATTTTTTTTTTAATTAACATTTATTTTTTTTTCAATTGTTTCATATATTTTTTATTTCTTTTCATTTTCCATCCAATCGTAATCATCGATTTTGCATAGACAATGGTGTGCAATTAATTTTTATTTTTAAATATTTTTTCGGAAAAGTGTAGGGTAGAGGAATGTTCAAAAAAAGTCGCCAGGTTTAAAAGCCTTTACAGGCCTTATATCGACAATAGTAATGCCTTTATGGCCTTTGTAGGCCTTTATCGGCATTAGAAACCTTTGTAGGCCTTTTTCGATGAACCATATATGATTTTAGGAACTGCTTAGAACCTCCGATACATTAAAGATTTTATATGAAACATGTATAAATATTATGAACTATAGATAATATTAGGAACTAGTCCTAAATATTTTTGATTTTAGGCCTTTTGTGAACTTTAGGCATTAGATTAAATTATATACATGGATTTTAGGCCTTTCTAGGAATATAATATAAATATTATGATATATACATGAATTTTAAGAACTAATCCGAAATATTTTTTATTTTAGGAATTAATTATGAAAATTAGGAACCAAGTATATATTAAATTATATACATGATTTTATATGAAACATGATATAAATTATATACATGCATTTTAAGAACAATATATTATTTTAGGAACTGCTTAGAAACTATAGATGCTTTTAGGAATTAGTCCGAAGTATTTTTTGATTTTAGGAATTAATGAACTTTAGGAACCAAGTAAAAATATTATGAATTATATACATGCATTTTAAGAACTTTAACTATGCACTCTAGGAATATAATATAAATATTATGAATTACACATGATTTTAGGAAATATTTTTCATTTTAGAAACTAATTATGAACTTTAGAAATATTTTTTTTTTATTTTAGGAATTAATTATATTTTCCACGACAATTAAAATATTTTTTTTGTTTTAATTTTAAAAATTAAATTAATTGCACAACTCGACCTTGCATTTACATTTTATTATCTTAATCTACATAAGAAATTTTGGGCAAAGCCCATAACCTCAAAAGAAACAAATGGCATGTGAAAATTACTAACTATCAACTAAATCTTATTTTTTTAAAGCATCTTAATCCCTAACTAAATATTACACCTAACATATTAAGTACGCTACACATTGGCGAACATGAGTGACAGTCAGTAGTTTTTCTTATGGAAAACTATTTTTAAATATTTGATATTTTAATTCCCTATTTCAAATTTTTTCCCCAAAAAAAAAAAAAAAAACACAGTTCACTCATGCAGCCTATGATGTACTCCGCTTTATAAATTGTAAATTTGCACCTGTTTTATATGATGCTGCAAATAATCGCTATTTCGCTCTCCTGTCATATATTTTATTTCCTGCAATATATTTATGTATAAGCCTATACACTTCTCTAACACTCCACCGAATTGCACCCTAATCTCTACGTTTTTTTTTACTAAATAGCTTGCTAATCTATCACATCTTAAGGTCGTATTTTAATTTTGAATCCATTCTATACATATAATTTGTTCTCCAGAAATATATATCTTCTTTCTTTATCTGTTTATCTCTCTCTCCCGTTCTCAATTATAGTAATAGCTCATTTTGTCTTCTCGCTAACCTTGGCCATTGGTTGCCTTTATTGTTCGAAAGCATTGCATCAAGAGCTAATAATGAATGTCATGCGTTGGCCTATGGAATTGTTCGATACAACACCATTGGGTAGAATTGTTAATCGTTTTGCCAAAGACATTGATACCATTGATATAGTTTTGCCATTGAATTGGCGTGTTTTCATTAGTCACGCTTTTGGGGTAATTACAAAATCACACACATATAGAAAGAATAATAATATTCAATATACATACATATTACAATTTTAATATCTTGTTTTAAATAAGTTTTCATAACTTACTAACACCGACTATCCCATTTCTACCCACTACCCCCCAAAACAAAAACAATTCAAGATTTTCATTTCAATATTTCCCATTATCGTGTTTTTTTTTTTTAATTTGCAACCAATATCTTTTGAAATTAAATATTCCAATTGGCTATTTAAATTACCCATTGTGTAGGAGAGTGTTGTGGTATTAAAATAATTTCGCATATTCTATGAACTCTTTTCTTGAATTTTATTAACTTATTTATGAATTTTAGGAATTATTAAGTATTAAGTCTGACAAAATTATGAACTATATAACAGCCTTGAAAAAATATTCTTTAAAACATCCACGACTCATGAAGGCCTTGAAAAAATATTCTTTAAAACATCCACGACTCATGAAGGCCTTGAAAAAATATTCTTTAAAACATCCACGCCTCATAAAGGCCTTGAAAAAATATTCTTTAAAACATCCACGACTCATGAAGGCCTTGAAAAAATATTCTTTAAAACATCCACGACTCATAAAGGCTTTGAAAAAAATATTCTTTAAAACATCCACGCCTCATAAAGGCCTTAAAAAATATTCTTTAAAACATCCACGACTCATGAAGGCCTTGAAAAAATATTCTTTAAAACATCCACGCCTCATAAAGGCCTTGAAAAAATATTCTTTAAAACATCCACGCCTCATAAAGGCCTTAAAAAATATTCTTTAAAACATCCACGCCTCATAAAGGCCTTGAAAAAATATTCTTTAAAAAATTCACGCCTTGTTTAGGCCTAGAAAAAATATTCTTTAAAAATTCACGACTTTTTAGGCTTTGAAAAAATATTCTATAAAAAATCCATGCCGTGTTTAGGTCTTGAAAAATATTCCATAAAAATCCACAACGTTTAAGGCCATTTATTTAGGAACTACACATGAATGTTAAGAAAAATATATGAAATTAATTCCTTTTTAAGAACTAGTTATAGATTTTAGGAAACAAGTACATAGATTATAAACTATTATTTTAGGGAATACATATCGTTTATGAAATGAGTATTTAAATGATATGACACATAAGTAAGGAAACATATTCGAATTGTTTTTAATAACAAAAAAATATTTAAGAAAAATACATTAATTTTAGAAACTTTGTACATATATTTAATAAACATCATATAACACTGTGTAGCACTAAAATCTTGAACCAATCGAGACCCCCAAAATCTTGAAGCTTGTGATGGTGGAAGAAAATCCATAGCTGGGTTTTGAATTATTAGCTAAGGTTTTTTTTTAAATCAATTTTTAAAATATTCGACTGGAGGTGGATTTTAACAATTTTCGAATAATACGTACCTATTATTGAGTCTATATCTCGTGAACTATTCGAAATATTGCTTTTCTCTCTTAAGCAATATTCTTCCTCTTAATTAGAACTAAAAATTTGTTCTTTAGATAAAAACAATAAAACATCACCATCATACTGAAAATAGCACAACTGCAAAAAAAAAATAAAATTTCGACATACTTTTTCCATGTTTTTCACACTTATTTCAGAAACTGCTACTGACTCGACCAAACAATATATGACAATAAGATAGCCAATAGCAAATCAAACAACTCTTCTTAAAACCCCGATTTCATTGGTTGACTCCTTCACATAGTTATAGCCTCACAAATTCATCAAAATGAACCAAATAAAACACTCCCAATTGTATGTTTATAGAAATAAAAATTACTATGCTTGTTCAATAAATAGGTAAAAATTAAAAATTAAAATGTTTGGGCCCTTTGGTTTTTTTCGAAGACATGTCGCTGCCATATATGCACAGGGTAATATGCAGCGGTGGCAACATTATGTCACTTATATTTATACCCTTCACCACACTGTGGTACAGGGTATTATGTCTTTGTGCATATGTTTGTAACAGGCAAAAGGAAACGAGATAGACACATGGTTCCTTTTTAGAATATACATAGAATCACTTTCTAAGTCGATTTATGCATGTCCGTCCGTCCGTCTGTCTGCCTGTCCATGTTAAATTGTAAACAAAGTACAGGTCGCATTTATGATCCGAATTGGATGAAATTTGGCACAGCTAGTCTATTTGGCGCAAGGACGAACCATATTGAAATTGGGAAAACTCGGTTCAGATTTAGATATAGCTCCCATATATATTTTCGTACGACTTCATGTAAATGGTGAACCCCTATATATCTTCCGATTTGCACGAAAATTGGCATAGCGTACTAAATTGAGTCTAAAATAATGTGTGTAAAATTTCTTGAAAATCGGTTCCGATTTAGACATAGCTACCATATATATTTTCGTCCGAT